TACGTCTCGTGTCGCGCACACGCTGTTTTATTGATTGATTGTTACGTTTAGTGTGTCGCGCATTCAGTTTTATTGATTGATTATTACGTCTGATGTCTCGCGCATTCAGTTTTATTGATTGATTATTACGTCTGGTGTCTCACGCATTCAGTTTTATTGATTGATTATTACGCTGGTGTCGCGCGCACTCTGTTTTTCTGTTCGATTATTACGTGTGGTGTCTTGTCCACTCAATGTTTCTGTTTGATTATTAACGTCTGTTGTCTCGTGCTCTTTGTTTTTCTGTTTGATTATAACGTCTGGTGTCTCGCGCACTCTGTTTTTCTGTTTGATATTGACGTATGGTGTCTCGCGCACTCTGTGTTTCCTGTTCGATTATTACGTGTGGTGTCTTGTCCACTCAGTGTTTCTGTTTGATTATTACGTCTGTTGTCTCGTGCTCTCTGTTTTTCTGTTTGATTAATACGTCTGCTGTCTCGCGCATTGTGTTTTCTGTTTGATTATTAAGTCTGGTGTCTCGCGCTCACTGTTTTTCTGTTTGATCATGACGTCTGGTGTCTCACGCATTCCTGTTTGTCTGTTTGATTATTACGTCTGGTGTCTCCCGGGTTTAGTTTTATTGTTTTATTATTACGTCTGGTGTCTTGTGCACTATGTTTTTCTGTTTGATTATTACCTCTGCTGTTGCGCGCATTCATTTTTAATGTTTGATTATTTCGTCTGGTGAGTCGCGCTTTTAGTTTTTCCGTTTGATTGTTAGGCCTTTGCATGATCTTGCGCTGTCAGTTTTTCTGTTTTATTATCACGTCTGCTGTCTCACGCATTCAGTGTTTTGTTTGATTATTTCAACTGTTGTGGAAATGGGGTGGATAGATATATTTTGTCATTAATCAAATCATCATTCGTAATTCGAATGTAATCTACGGTTGAATGATTACATTATTCAGTTGAAGTTTCGAATCTTTAATTTAAAAATCAAAGCAATATTGCATTAATGAAAGCATACATACACATACATATTTTATTAACTCATCCCTGATAAGGCTTTTCAGAGTTAAATAATTATACTTAAAAATACATAATTTATTATGAATATACTATAATTATAAAGCATCGCTCATTATTTAGTCGAAACGCGCCGAGTATTTTGACTGTAATAACAGAAGTGATATCATAGCTACTGCAAGGCAAGCATAAGAAACGAAGAGACCCAATGGCTAACTATTGCACTATATTAGTGTTGACTATGCTTAACAGACGTGACGCTACAGTTTCTGCATAGTTAATATACGAAACAAAGTGACCGAATGCCTAACGCATCGGCCATAGACAAAGTACTTTATACTAACTAACTCATGAACTATAATTATTAGTGTCAGCTATGCTTACCAGAAGTGATACCAAAGCTACTGCAAGGCAAAGTACTATATTATACTCTAAATATGAAAGAAAGTGAACCAATGGCTAACTGATGACTATATTAGAGTCGGCTATGCTTACCAGAAGTGATTCCAAAGCTACTGCTAGGCAAAGCACTATATACTCTATATAGGAAACAAAGTTACCCAATGGCTAACTCATGGACTGTATTAGTGTCTGGATAAATTTTATTTCTTTTTTCATATAGGTGACCTGGAGCTGGATTTGTCCAAGTTAGTTCGCCCTTAGCTTGTGTTCGTCCTAGGTACTGTGGAACAAGCAAAGACCCCAGAGAACGCAGCCAGTTTGTAGATATTTTCATACTCGTTTCTTATCAGCTCAGCCCACCAAAAATCCCTTAAGAATCGTGAAGTTTTTTAGCTCAGGGCTTATAACTGGGATTTTATGGCATAATTCGGCCAAAATTTCAAAGATATAACTATGTTTTGCAGTTTATGCTTTCTTGTACTTAGTTTTATTATATTTTTATTCTTTCACCACCATTTTTTATCTCCATTTTATTAAATTCTTCAATATCCAGTTTTCAAATAGCCAGGACAATGGCTTCCTTTTGAGAGGGGAGGAGGACTGTTTCAATCTCATTTTTGTAGTTAAAAACGTGTTATTTTGTCTGGTCTGTAATAACTACTACTCATTCTTGTTGTTTCTGTTTTGTTTCAGAGTTACACTGCCTAAGAAGCCTGCTTGGAGCATGAATACCAACGTTACCTTCCACACTGCCGTACAATGTACTATCACTTGTTAAGTTTAAGACCACAAAGCTCTGAAGAACAATAGTTGGAAGAAGATTTGTTTTTAATCGAAAAAATATTAGGCTCGAAATGTTTCGAAGCACTTACTTTTGATTACTGAGTGGTCTTCAGTTATTAAGTTTAATATACAATGTTTACTAAAAGTTTAGGTAGCAAATTATTCTGTTTATATAATGTTACATTTATTGTAAAAATGTCCAAATGAGGTTATTTCTAATACATTCGACTGTGCTTGAAATCGGTAGATGCTCAAACTCGTCAGAGATAGAAAGTAATTATGGAAAATAGTGACTACCATCTTCCAACACTGAGTTTGACAGTATAGATTACTTTATGAAGGATTTATCATATCGCGCATATTACTCGCTTTTATCATTCAGTAAAAAATAAATGAACACTATACAATTTTGAAAGGCTTATACAGGAACGGAAGGCTACTTATAAACAACATCATTACAGTTATAACATGACAAAAATATCAAATAAAGTATGTCTGCGTATACTTGGGTTTGTCTATTGTTAAAGAATAAAGCTGTTATAAACTTGTTTATATTTGTCACATTATTTATTTATTGAGACATTTCTTCCCGTTTGTTCAACTTAAAGGAGCTATGTCACAATATATTTAGTCATTTTTTCCTATGTACAAAATCACCTTCAAATCGAAGTAAACCATAAAATAATAGTTAACTAAGGAAGAAAACACCAAAGAGGTGATAATAAACCAAAAAGGAACAAGACGAACAAGGATGGTTAATATTGGGGAAAATTGAGACGGATTGCAAACGACAAACTTGAAAAATTTAGGCTAAATTTTTCAAGATGCGCCATTCGTGACGTAGGCTCCTTTAACTCTTTTTCTAAATATTCTCCAAACAATGTGAATATTCTTCTTATATCTATTTGTATCCTATGATTGCTAATTGCTTTATTGGTTTATTTGTAAAATTGACCAACGGCATATCGATGATCAATGACATCAATAAGTAATCAATGAATAATCAGCTGACCAAAATAACGGATGTGAATTAGGAGATTTCGAAAACCAAAAAATGTGTCCTATTGCTATATTACTCATCACTGTCACACTGTCAATCATACACTGTAATTCTTTGTTTTCATCTGACGTCATCAAAATTCTAAAACCTAAACTGTTAATCTTACAAAGCTATTCTTTTTGTATCTTCTAGACATGGAAATCATTAATCTCTATACAAAGTTTGGTATCGATCCAGTGATTCCTTTTGGAAATAAAGCTATTTGAAATTTGTGATGTCCCGGATGAACGTGTTTCTGAGCTGTCACAAAAAACGGATATTTTTATATCATTTTTAAATTTTCAGACGTGATAATAATTTAGAAGTGATGTCTAAACAGATTTGGAGTGAAAGCTAATGATATTGACGGTAGAATCTACTCTACTTCTTGTGCAATTTTTATGGCGGCCATATTTGTGCCCCTCTGAAGGACACAAACATGGCGGCGGCATACTAAATACTGTAATTTTCTGAAAATTAGTTTTGGCAATAACTCGGTTATGAAAAACGCTACAATGCTATAATTTGGACAAAACGTTTCTTTCTGCCAGTTCTTTTACCTGTTAATTTTCTGATGTTGTTCATGCAAGCAAACAGTTTTTGTAATGTTGATGAAAACCACCAATAGACAACAAAGACATTCAGATAATGTTAATGTCGTCCACATGAACTAAATAAAGGTGAAATGCCGTTAATCTTCAATTGCAGAAGTCGTTCAAACATCCTCAACCCCACCCACCCCTTCTCAGGTACCCCATTTCTATACTAGATAGCAAAGAAGAGGAGATCAGGGGTCAGGGAGGAGAGTCATATGAGCGCAGGGGAGAGAGTCATGTATGGAGTGTGACGGGACGTTGAAAGGGACGTTGAAAACAGCTAAACATTTTAACCAACTGGCCATTGTTCCGATAATACGTCCGTTTGTGGTCCGTCCCTTCACCAAAGTTATACAGAAAGACACAACAATGTAGAATAAACTGGCACTTTAGCCGCTCACGAGATCAAAGAAACATTAATAGCGCGGTAATATTAGCTATCTTTTCCTGAATATTCTTTATATAAATTATTTGGAAGCTTACCGAGTCAGACAATGAGTCACACGAGGCGACACGCACGATTGGCGGTTGTAAGACAACTAATATGGTACAACGTGTCTAAAACATGTTATCCTGGTTTGCTTTAAACTCTCATGAATGTCTCTCATGGTTTGGTTATTTGAATAATAAAATAATAAGATCATTATTGCTTGCCTCCTGTTAGGAGAACTCTGAATCACTTTTTCCGAGTAGCTTGTGTCTCAAGACAAACATTATTAAACTATAATTTCTTTCCATTCTAATCTCACATATCGAAAAACTAATCCTAGCAGTTTGTCACACTTATTTGAACCTAGTTATACGACCTAAGCTCCCACGAGTCTCCTGTAGCTCAGTGATCGAGTGTCCGCCCAAAGTGCGGGTGGTCATAGGTTCGAGTCCTGTTGGGGGAACTCGGAATTCTTTTTTTGAGTAGTAGCTTGTGTCACTGGCTGAATAATATCTTACTTTTTTAATTTCTTCTTGCTGTAATATATTTTTTTCTGTTAAGAAAAATATCATTTTGAATTACTTTGAAAAAGTCAACTAGACTTGAGACCCTGGTTTGCTTAATCCTTTAATTCTTAAACTTGTAATGTCTGGTGTGTGTAAGGTCATAGACTCGACTCATATTGGGAGAACTCGTCAAACATTTTGTCACATTAGAACCTAGTTATATGGCCTAAGCTCCCACGAGTCTCCTGTAGCTCAGTGGTTGAGCGCCCGCCTGTTGTTTGGGAGGTCGTGGGTTCGAGTCCTGTTGGGATAATTCGGTATTCTTTTTTCCGAGTAGTTTGTGTCACGGACAGAATATTAACTTTCTTTTTGTAATTTTTTCTTGTTGTAATATATTTTTACTATTTTTTAATCCCTTGAATTACTTGGCTTTCTTAATCCTAATTAATTCCTAAAATTAACAGCTGGTAATTTCTGGTGGGTGTAAGGTCATAGACTCGACTCCTGTTCAGAGAGAACTCAGAATTAATTATTTTTACAAGTAGCTTGTGTCCCAAGCTTAACACTGATTTAATATCATTTATTTCCATACTTATCTCACATATCGACAAACTGATCCTAGCAGTGTGCCGAACGCTTGTCACATTTGAACCTAGTTATGTGGCCAAAACACCCACGAGTCTCCTGTAGCTCAGTGGCTGATTGTCCGCCCGGTGTGCGGGTGGTCATAGGTTCGAGTCCTGCTGGGAGAACTTGGAATTATTTTTCCGATTAGCTTGTGCCACCAACTGATTAATATGTTTCTTTTTGTCATTTCTTCTTGTTGTAATACATTTTTCTTTTTCCCGCCAGACACATTTTGACCAAGAACATTTCTTTTCTTAGTTTTATTTATTTTTTGCCATTAAAAACATCCAAAGAAAAGGGCTTTCTTTTTCTGGCTCGTGATTTGCTGATTGAAAAAAGCGTGTGTGTGACGTAATTGCCAGTGATTGGTTTCCAGCTTCTAATCCATATTCATGACAAATTGCAGAATTCTTGTCAAACCACGCTGGTCGTGGATGTGTGAAGACGTGTCTTCTTACTGAAGACTGAAGAAGATGCTTGATGTGCGTAGACGAAGCTGGGAAAGAAGACGTTTGGTTATTCCAACCAAAGGTAAGCACTGCTTTTGGAACATATTACCGTTTTATTTTGTTTAGAAAGCTTAAAAGGTATCAAAATTAATGTTAGCGAAATGAGTTAACATGTGCGCTGTTTGTATTCTTGAAGGAAGATGTTTCAGTGATGTGCAAAGCTGGGATGGATGTCTTACGTTATTCAAACCAAAGGTAAGCGCTGCTTTTGGAAAATATTACCGTTTTATTTTGTTTAGAAGGCTAAAAGTATTAAAATTTTACTCGAGTAAGTTAACACGTGCACTTGCCGTTTTGCTTTGAGCTTCGCTTCGACTCAAAACTGCAACAAGCAGTGTCTTTAAATTCTTTCGTTTGCAAAGCACTGGTTTTGGAAAATATTAGCATGAGATTTTGTTCAGAAAGCTAAAAGTATCGAAATTTTACTCGAGTTAGTCAACACGTGCACTTGCCGTCCGCTTTGAGCGTCGCTTTGACTGTCGCTTTGACTCGAAACTTATTTAAATTGTTTCGTTTGCAATACAGTAAGGACCGTAGTTTACGAATCTCTGGCGTGAGCTAGTGCTGCGTAATATTTTATGAGAAATTACGAACAGTTTATGTAGTCTTAACGCCTGAAACAAACGCTGAAATAAGGATTATGATGTTGAAAATTACACAGGACAAATTCAGAGGTATTTTGGTGAGAAATGTTTTACCTGTTGAAAGTCGATAACGGCGTGTTAAATTTGCAACGAGGCCACGTGCATGCGATATTTTGTATTTGTAAATACGGAGAGACGTAAAGTTTTGTTGCAATAATTTAGAAAAAGCTTTGCTTGGTTTTCCTTTACCTCACTTGTTGTATTTTTGTGGCCGTGTTTTGTTCAGCATCAAAAACTTAAAATTTAGCTTCAACCTTCAAAATATTCAAATTTGCGAGCTGTGCATGCAACAGTCACGCGTGTCGAAGCCGCCATTTTTAGACAGTTGTATAGATTGGAAATTTGATAAATTGCTAATTATTGAATTTTTTATTTCATTTTCAGGAAAACAAACTTGATGAAGAGGAAAGGAGAGCAAAGAATATGGCCACAAGGACAAACTGGAATCACGGAATCAGGAGGAAATACTACAAAGATGAGAACTTTAAACTTATTAAACAATTGTAGTAAAAATGTTGGCTGATCAAATTTCTAAATTTGCAAATGTTCACTCTCGGTTTTATCACATCGGATTTATTGATTGTCTGTTTTGAGTCGTGAAAAACGCCAGGGACTGGTCGGGGTAAATTGGCACAAAGTACTTTATAACTTGTTTAGTATCAGCCAACATTTTTTTGGGACTAGCCTACAAACTTTGCAGACCATTATACAGGTTTAAGATTGGCGATCATTTCATTTATGCCGGATGTTTTTTTATTTAGGTTGACTCTGGAAATTGTCTTGATTTGCTTTGGAAATTCATTCATCGAAACTTGAATGCAAAAACAAAGGCGGGATTTCAATTCTGTAGCATTGATCGCTCAAGATCTTTAGAATATTATGTATGCACACACAAATGTCACAACGCAACATCACTTCGCTATATACGTTGCTATGGTTACAACTTATGTTGATGTTACAGGGAGGTGATAATTTTTAAGGTGGCACTTCAAGAAGAACGAGGGAAAAGATCTGAAACAAAAAAAAACTCTCCAGTTATTATATGGCAAGCCATAATTGAGTTATTTGATTGGCTGTTTCTCGGACGGTATTTTTTATGAATATGCCAGCGTATTGTAAAATGAAAGGGGGATTTTATCGAGTGCCACCTTTAAAAGATTCACACGCTTGCCTCATCAATAATTGAAGTTGACAAGAGAACACTGGCTTTTTAATAGAAAAACAAAATCGATTGAAATCAAATAAAATCAAACGAGATTAATTCGTTTAAATTATTGTACGTCATAAATTGTTTTAAACACCAACGGCTGTAATTGATAATTCAATTTTGGCTTGTTTTGGATAGAAAAATATATATTTGCCTATGTTCTCTTGTCGGCTTGGTATGATAGTAAGAAAAACCCTAATGTCTGATTCTGGGAATATCACGAAAACTCGAGTACGAACGGTTATGTAGACCAGTTATACAGACCAGTTATATACAGACCACAAAATGGAAAATCATTGTTCACTAATTCAAAACAAAAACAAAAAAACAGCACGATGTTTAATCAGCTATTTTAATTGTCCTCAATGTTTCTTGCAGTACTGATTAAATCACAGCAGTATTACTTTTTGATGCTTTGCACGACGCAAGATAGAAAACCTTAAGACAATTGTCTGATAAAAAAAACTCTGTTCAAACTAATTTTTGCCAATTAACAATCTTGTGTAAGCAGTATTTGTTCTGTTTTGTTTTGTTTGAAAAAGCTCTATTTACCAATTAAAACACAAATTCACGGAGAAAACGTCAAAATAATTGTCTGATAAAAAACAATCAACAATCTTATGAAAGCAGTATATATGTCTACCACAACATACGTCGAGGAGAAAACTGAACTTGAAAAAATTGTCTGATAAACAAAATCAACTTGTATTTTGCAAATAAATATTGTTTTGTTTGTTTGAACAAGGTCTATTTATTCACGGAGAAACATCTCGTGTTTCATCTCATGAAACAACCATCAATTGTATATAAGCAATATGAATTTTTGTTTGTATAAGCTTTGTCTACCAAAAACAGTCCGGGAGAAAATGTCTGATAAGAAAAAATAGCTCTATTAAAACTATATTGAACTGACAAGTTCTATTTAAGTAAAATGGAAAACTTTTGAAACATATTTTGAAAGCAATCAATAATCGTATGAAAGCAACATTTTTTATTGTTTGTACATGTTTTATCTACCAAAAGACAAATAAATTCACACAGAATAGAGGATTTCAACCCTGAAAGTTATCTGATGAAAAAATCAAAAATCTTATGAAAGAAATATTTTGATTTATTTGTACAAGTTTTATTTACCAAGAGACAAATTCACGAAGAGTTGAGAACTTTGAACAAATTATCTGATAAAAACGATCAGCAATTTATGAAATAAATATTTTGTTTGTTGTTTGTTTGTACAAGTTTTATTTACCAAAAGACAAATTCACGCAGAGTTGAGAACTTTGAACAAATTATCTGATAAAAACGATCAGCAATTTATGAAAAAATATTTTGTTTGTTTGTACAAGTTTTATTTACCAAAAGACAAATTCACGCAGAGCTGAGAACTTTGAACAAATTATCTGATAAAAACGATCAGCAATTTTATGAAAGAAATATTTTGTTTGTTTGTACAAGTTTTATTTACCAAGAGACAAATTCACGCAGAGTTGAGAACTTTGAACAAATTATCTGATAAAAACGATCAGCAATTTTATGAAAGAAATATTTTGTTTGTTTGTACACGTTTTATTTACCAAATGACACTTCACGCAGAGTTGAGGACTTCAACCCTGAAAATTGACTGATAAAAACAATCAAAATTTAATGAAAGCAATATTTTGTTTTGTTTGTACAAGTTTTATCTACCAAGAGACAGATTCACGCAGAGCTTTGAACAAATTGTCTGATAAAAACAATCAACAATCTTATGAAAGAAATAGTTTTTTTTGTACAAGAGTAATCAAGGAGAACTCGCGTAGAAAAGACAACTTGAAAATAATTGTCTGATAAACAAAATCAATACCTTTATTCGAACTATATTTTGCGAATAAAATATTCTTTGTGGAAATATTTTGTTTGTACACGTTTTATTTACCAAAAGAATTGAGAACATTTGAACAAATTATCTGATGAAAACAATCGACAATCTTGTAAAGCAATGTTTTTTGTCTGTAAAAGTTTTACTTACCAAAAGGCAAATTCACACAAAATAGAGAACTGAATATAATTCTCTGATAAAAACAATCAACAAGTTTATGAAAGCAATTTTTTTGTTGTTGAAACAAGCCGTCAAATTACCGAAAGACAAGTCACGGAGAAAATAGAATTTTAATTGTGTGAAAAATAAAACAATAGTTTTCTTCAAAATTTATTTTGAAAATTATTATTCTTTTGATGGAAATATTTTGTTTTGTTTGAACAAGGTGTATTTACAGAAGACAAATTCACGCAGAATACAGAAGTTTTCAAAAAATTGTCCGATAAAAACGATCAACAATCTTAAATAACGCGAAAGACCTCGCATTGTAATTTTGCATATGTAAATTTCAACAGCACTTTATTTGAGAATATTTAATTTTTTGAAACGTGGTCGATTATTTTTATATTTCTCGTGAAATGCCAAAGCAAAACTATTAATTGTTCAACAATCTTATGTTTTGTTTCTGAAAGCTTTATTCACCAAAAGACCGTAAAATTCGTGGAGAAAACAAACATTTGAACAAATTGTCTGCTAAAAATAGCTCTGTTCAATCTGCATTTTGCAATTGCGAATTAACAATCTTTTCACGAGGGAATGATTTACAAATTCATTATCATTTGACTTTGGATTATTTATTTACTTTTCATTGTAAAATGAACGTTGCATCTTGGTTTTTGTTTCTTTTACGGTGGTCTGTATAGCTGTTATTTAACTTTTGCACTTTTCAATTGTTAATCAAAAACGT